AAATTCAGCTTCTTATTAAAAAGTTATGTTTTAATTAAAAGATTCTGTCTCAAATATTTCTCGACCTATTATATCTATTAACTGAAGAAACATTCTAAATCAAAGTAGGTAGTATCTGGTCCGTAAAACATATTTCGTCCTCTTTTCTTCCGTACGCTTTATGATGTCAGCTAGATGGATCTTCATCGTTTGTAAAGCAAAGGAACCTTTGTGCTTCTATCTTGAAGCCCATAAATTTAATATTTTTAGATACACTTCTCTACGTTCATTGAATTGGTGCACGACAGTATACTTTGCAATCCAGCTAACGTGATAACTACTGCTGAAATTTCTAAAGGCTTTTAACATCGTCTTAAATTTTTCTGACGTGTATAAAACATTATTGCAATAATTCTTTTTTTCTTTAGAAATTAAAGATTTAATTTGAAGCTGTGATTTAAAAGGAAAATAATGATTGTTGAATTATGCAATAAATATACATTTTTCTTTCGATTATTATTTACTAATATAATTTCAACAGGTGAAATATTAAATATTACTTTTCAGATACAACGAGGCCTCCGCGAAACGATGAAGAAAACGGACGCAATTATTATTTCGTGTCGCATGACGAAATGATGGCTGACATAGCTGCTAATGAATACCTCGAATATGGTACATTATTAAATACATTTTACATTTAATGTTAAAAATAATAAATTAATTTCTATTAAACTTACGTGTATTTCCTTTCAAATAATAGTTACTTATTTTCACAAAATTTTTATTCTGTTCTATTTAAACTTTTTCTTTTACTATGTTGTACAAGAATTATACGAATCCCATAATGAAAGTCATAAACGCTAATTTATTAATTCCATTGTTTCTTGTACATAGGTACACACGAAGATGCTATGTATGGAACGAAATTGGAAACGATTCGCAAAATTCACGAAGAAGGCAGAGTGGCGATATTAGACGTGGAACCGCAAGCTTTAAAGGTGTTACGCACAGCAGAATTTGCACCTTATGTTGTTTTTATCGCCGCTCCAGTATTCCAGAATATTACCGATGTAAGCAACGAACATTTAGAATTGTAATCTAACGATAATCAAACTCTGCACTTGCACAGATCGTTAACTTTCTCCAGTAAGGTGTAGCTAACTAAGGATGAGTTAACTGATTAAACGATTAATCGGTCATTGATGAAATTACGGAACTCTGACACTTTCACCTAACTAAATTTGCTGTTATAAATAAGTTACGTAATGGAAATCGCTTTGGGAATTCAATCTCAGCTTGTAGCAACAGCAGCAAATACGTGACACAATTTTAAAGTTGCAAAGTACTGTTGAATATTGTTGAAGTGATTAAAACGAATCTCGTAAATAGTGTTTATTCTAATCAGTATACTTTGAGAACTTCCAAAAAACCTTCAGAATAAATTACTTATGACACCCAAAAGTGGGTGTCTTGCCGCTACAAAGCCGGTACCGCTCTATCTCTATCCCTACTTTTAACAAAACAAACAAAAATACTAATGAAATTGCATAATTAATGTTTTAGTGTGACGGAAGCCTGGAAAGACTGGCGAAGGAATCGGACTCGTTGAAGCAAGCGTACGGCCACTTTTTCGACTTAACCATCGTAAACAACGACATCGAGGAGACGATCGCTCAGTTAGAGGCAGCGATCGAACGGGTGCACACGACACCGCAGTGGGTGCCGGTATCCTGGGTCTACTGACAGCGAACCTCTCCAATTCGTCACATCACCCACTGCAATGGCTCGTCGAACGTGAAACAGTGATCATCGAATCGCGAATCCACCGAACGACCGGTCCATAAGCGATCGCTTAACTGCGACCACACGATAGACTGTTATACAACGTACCTAAATTAGGCACCGGAAGTCGCAGTCGTAGCCGATTCGGGACAGACAGGTACGTATAAATACGCGTCGGACCAATCGAACGAAAATCAATTCGTCGAGAATCCTTCGAATGCGTCACTTTGGCCGTGTGTTCATGCACAGTTTTTTTATCACTACTGAATTGTTACTACTACTGGTTAATTAATCTTATCGGTACCCGTTATTGTCGATCGCGTGGGAAGAGTTAAAGAGACGAAAACTGATCCAATACACGACAATCAAAAGAATAAGAAAAGAGAAGAAGAAAAAAAAAAGAAAGCCGCAGAGGAAACATAGATTTTAAAAGTCTGTAATATCGTTTTGTTCGATACGTATAAGGGTAACGCTGCAAGCTCCAAAAAATCGGTTTAATTAACGGAGCTAATCGCCTGTTAGTTATTTTGTTCGCGCAGTTTTCTCTCTTTCTCTCTTCGCATCAGCTCTTCTTACTTTCTCTATCTCTATCTGTCTGTCTCTATATTTTCCGCTCTCTTCTTTGCATTTCTCGAGACATTCCTCGCGTACACGAATTGAACGCTGTCTGTGCGTAGCCACGCGTCTGGAAAACGTTGCAGAGTGGTTAACGATAGGGCAGAGTTCGGGTGAATAAAGATGGAAAGTGGATTGAAGATGAGGAACGGTCGTTCGTGAATGTTGACCGAGTGGACAAAGCTTGTACCGTTATTGCGAAATCTGTCAATCGACTTTAACCTAATCTATAATTGCCTCCTATCGTACTCTCTCTTATAACTATTGTATACAGAGCGAAGGTGAAGAAGAAAAAAAAAAAATAAAATGCTAGGATCTCGCTGCCCGATAATCCCGCTTGAAACGATTCGAATCGAAGGAAAATCGAAAGGCAGCTAGTCGTTTACCAGTAACTTTTAAGCAGTAGAGAAAACTTCGCCGATTTCGTCTAGTATTTCGAACATCTAACGAAACGTGTATAATTGCGCGAGCGCTATTCTTCCTCCTTAGCTGAGCGTTTTCCTTTTCCTTTCGAGCCTGTCACTTCCGGAAGTTATCCTATACCGGACTCTTAACCGGTACCAGGACGTCGAATTGCTCGAGTTTCATTAGAGATCTTTTCACTCCGAACTGAGAGCTTAAAGCGCGGACCTCATAGAGGTGCCGTTTTCTTCCTACGGGTTTTACGTTTCACACCACTCGACACACATGCACGTCACCGTAATATCACTCGGTTCGCATCGCATCCTCGTACAAAGAAATAAAAAAGCGCATTATCGAACGACGAAGTAAATGAAACGCGCGGTTAACTATACGAATATTTATAAACACGTAAACTCAAGTAAATAGATAGTCTACCAACTATATGAAATAATACTAAACACCGTCTTTGCATTAAAATGAGAAAAAAAAACAGAAGCAGTCTAGAAACATGTACACGCTGACACGCGCACATTTAATTACACCACGTAGATATACGCTTACACGGTCGTACGCGTGACACACACAAACGCGCGGTCATATAACGCTGAAACGATTAATCCTTTCATTAACACCTTGAAAAATTATTATATAGAAAGAAAATTATATTAGCGCGTAAATAGAAATTTTATTCTATTTTTCTTTATAACATTTCAACTCCAAATACTAAAAATATCAGAACACCAAAATATTAAAAATTTTTTAATGAAGTTTATCAATTTCCCACAATTTTCTACTATTTTATGTTTGTGTTATGAAAGGGTTACTTGTACACCACTACATACATAAAAGAAAAACATACGACACATACATACGACAAGTAACGCGGATTCACGAGAAACAGATTTAACGTCTAGGTAATTAATTACAAACGATTACATGAATTAATTGTGTAACTAATTAACACTAAATTATTAGGTGACTAGGAGATTTGCATATGCAGCCCGTAGAAGCGAAGGAGTGAATGCGTGTACGTAAGATTAACCGGTGTGAGTCTGTTGCATTCGCGATCAACGTTGTGGACCTTCACGTGGCTTTGTTCAGAATAACAAGAAAAATGTTTAATTACAGCTCAATTACTTATATATATTAAGATCTCGAGAAACATACACAGGCACAGCGACACTTTTCACACGCGTACACACAGATTTTACTATGTTCTTCCTACTTGACACACATATAGAACACATACGATGTTATATAGTCATCGAGCGGGTAATTGCCCTGTTAAATTAAACGCTATATTTTGATGGAGTTCGCAAAGAAAACGGAGAAACAATCTGTTGTGTACGTATCTAAGAACAGGCTCCAATTCTCGCACGAATATAAATTTAAAAAAAAAAAAAGAAATTGTTAAGTGACAAGGATCAAAAAATCGAAGGAAAGCTCGTGTCGGTATGATCGTTTTAAGTGTGAATGAGAAAATAATTGAAACGTAAGAAGAACGAATCTTCAGTGATTTTGTAATATTTCTTATAAGTTGTAGCTGCCATATCCAGTAATGTTAAGTAACTAGGTGCACTGAGTGATTATCTGACGACGACTGTTAGGATTCTAATGGTGATGATTAATAATGATGATGATCAATGATGATCCTACATGCTCCTGCAAGTGTGTGTCCGCGACTTTGGATGAGTTACGCTAAGATGTTGAAAAGACGACGGGTCTAAAGAAAACAATAACAGTTCATTACAATTATGTAATTATAAATAAGAGAAAGAGACGAAGAATATTATAACACGTTGTTAATTGAATTAATAAAACTAGCCCAAAGTGTCGAAGGTAATTTAATTTTGCCACCCTTCTTCACTAATTAAATGATAACATGATTGAAATTAATTGAAAGGGGAAGTTTAGTAATTATTTTTAATTAAATTAAATCTAATTTTTTTTTTTATAGAACGGATGAAAAAATAACAAACGGGTGACTTTTATCGTGTTTAATTCATGATTACAAAAATATCAAAGCATTGATTATAATACAAAATAATATTTACAATTTCTATTACTCCTGTAGCTTTATCACTAAGTACATTATGAATCTTTAATCATAAACTTCTGGGTACTTATATTAATCACATAACTCAATCACACATTTATTTATTTAAACATGCGTTCAAATTGGTTAGGATTTATAATAGGTTTTTAGGAATAAAAAAATATTTCATATTTCAATAGACTAGTATAATATTATTGTGCCAACAATTGAACATTGATACGTCGCAAATCAAACGCGTCGATGCTTTCTCTTTAACGGATGTTTTCTTGCAGCATTATTTTTACGAAGCATCACCGATGGTGGTATCAGCATATCCATTTCTGAAGTGTCTGTTTGATTGCATTGGTTCTGGTCCATGGGGAACATGTATTCCAGATCGATGTCGTACCTTCGCACCGATGAAATAACGTTAAATACATTCTCGTTAATTAAATTCTCACCTAGGTGCAGCAGATGTTCTATAACTGAAAACTAAATGGAACTCACCTGGGCAATTTCTCGCGAAGATACGAAATAACGTTAACGCCGAGACTTGGTTCTCGACTCATGATAAAACTTGATAGATATCGAGGACTATTGCTTTGTTCAGCACAGTGCATAAGCAATGCCCATGATTTATAATCTGAATCTAACACATATGTGTTGTACACTCCTTCATCTGCAAAGCAAAAGTATTATATTCCGTTAATTTATTTTTAATTTAATAATTAATTTAATTTATAGTTATCATAAATTCCATTTGGGGATTTTAAGGTGTTCATATCATCATTATCGCTATTACCATGAAGGAGATAGTTGAAATAATTTTTAATACTTACAAGAATACTCAGCATGAACCCAATGAGCTGGTAATTCTGGTGATGGTATCTTCCATGTGATATTACCAACTAGTTGTTCGTTGATGGGATCATCGGTGAAACTGTAAGTGAAATTCATGGTAACCTCCGTACTGTCGGGCGAAAGTGATAATTCAGCTCGCATACATCTGTAAGCGAGTGCTTCTTCTGAACTTGCATAGTACTGTACTATATACCACGACCCAAGGAACTGCAATAAATACAAGTAATTTATTTCTTTAGCATAGAACGCACCTTCATTGCGTGTAACTACTCTTCTTGTTGTTCGCGTTGAAACGTTAATCGAAGTGCTCGTTTTATAAATGTTTTACTATGACGAGCTTTAGAAGCATACATTTCAATACACTTCAGTATGCTGTTTCATTTTTGGAATACTTATACAGTTTTATTCATAATAATTTCTGTTCTTAATTCAAAAAATTTTTTAAATGTCACTTGCATCCCTTTGGTTCTAAGTGCCAAATGAAACAGGTAAACGATTAAATAATTATTAGGTGCAATTTAATTGAACAAAATTAAATAGAGCAATCAAATAGAGGATCCATTAATTTTGCAAAATATTATGCAAGTATTGAGCATGGTAGGCTTCTCTAATAAAAATGGCGATATCCTCGGTCCTCCCCAAAGACTTCCCCTTCGCTGGCCACCCATCAGCCACCCATCAGGGAAGCCTACTTTGTTCGATATTGTACTATATAAGCTTTGTATATGTAATTTAATTGGAAAAAATTAATAGAATAATTAAGTGAATTGTCTATAAGTGTGCAGATCATTCATAACTCTAAGAATACAATTTAATTGGTAGAAATTAGGTGGAGTAATGAAATGGAACATTCATAAACGTATAAAATAATCAGAAATTATAATTCTAGGAATGTAACTTCGTTGAAAGGAATTAAGTAAGGTATTCAAATGAAACGTTATAAATCGTAAGTATATGTTCTACGAATTTAATTTAATTGGCGGAAATTAAATAGAGTGATCAAATGAAACGTTGGTAAGCGGACGATAATGATTAATTATTTTTAATTAGCAATAATAATACCAAGTTAATTTAATTCTAATGTGGCAAAGAATAAATTAGTAAGTAAGAATTTAATAATTTATCCATTAACCATCATGAATGAAAACCATCATTCATGTTCTATATGTGTATATCTGAAATCATACTGAAAATAAGTATTATGTAAGTATCTCGTATGTTATCGACGATGTTGAAAACGTTTCGCTTCATTTCCGATCAAAAAGAGTTGATCAATGGTTATTGACAGCCATTATAGGAACAATTATAAAACATGCATGAGATAAACAATTTATACTAAAAATAGTATTAAGTTTGAATGAAAAACATTCTGAACCAAATAATAATTTGTTGAAAAACTTTTATCATTTAATCATATCATTATATTTTTTTATACAAGAATCACAAATGATGTCACAATGATAATTATAATTATTAAGTTATTGGTAATTCATTGATGATTTTTTCTTAATAAATCTGATCAAATTTAATGAACTTATCTGAATTATGTCATATGTCGTAGATATATCATGATAAATGGTTTCACAATTTTCAAATACTTTCACGTATCAAAGTAAAGTTCACCAAACAATACAGTTTTGTTAATACAGTAGACTCTCGTTATATTGCCACGTAAGGATATTCAAGCATACTAATCCACTCTTTCACCATCATAGCCTACGAGAATAATACAATTTTATCTCCCTTTTCCTCTCCAAATGAAAGTTGCAAGTTTAAAAAATGTTCGCCCCTATAGCTCCTTCCCATCGGCGGCAATATAACGAGAGTCTACTGTAGAATAATATGATTATCACCCTGTCACTTTGATATATTCTATGCTCCAAAGTCCTATTTCAGTCTTGAACTTACCAACGTTCAAATACTTTAGTCGTGAGCACCAACGTACCTCGGATATGTCAAAATTTCGTATGCCCTTTACTTTCGGGCACTTGGTCTTGTCCTCCCGCCTCTTCCAAGTACCGGAAGTATCATCGATCAAAGAGGCCAGCAGCAGTAGCGGGACTATCAGCGAACAGAATCTCGAACAGCACGTTCCGGGCTGCATTCTCCTGGTCGCATTCAATCCTTCTAGCCACTTGGCACACGCGGAACTTGTTACTTCTTCGTTGAAGCCTGGCCGACTACTAAAAGGCCACCGGGACCGGACAGAATGAACAGAGGACGCGCTCGTGACTACTACTATCTACACAAACGAAAGAGGGGGTGGTGGTCACTATCACGTTCCTCCCTTTGCATTCTTGATGCTCTTTCGTTTTCAATCGGCAACTTGTTCAACGGAACGCGCATACGGATCCTCGTGGTAGGCGCCAGCTTATCCCAGGACTGTGGATCGTAGGCGTGATCGTCGCCACAGCTAAAGAAGGGCATCGACTGTTACACGCCGCTTCGTCCCGCTTCCGTCCGCCCATCCTCGCGGTTTTTTATAGTCTCGCGTATGTACCGTCCTGGTATACGCGGTTCTTGTTCAAGGTAAATATGAACGGACGCGAAAAGGCTTATTCCTTTACCTAAGATGCTGTTCATATCGGGTTGGAGTATTTTCTTGAGGACAAAAGTCGAAATAGAAAAAGGGTAAATTGAAGGAATTCTATTTAGGATAATTAGTTGATAATTCATCTAATTATAGGGGTGAGTGTTGGGATAACTAGGATTCTTATCTAGTAATTGCAAAAATTTATATTTAAAGTGCAGCACTCAATGTACAAATGATTGTAACACTTTTGATTTTTATCTTGATACACGTGCCATAATTACCACATGGATTGATAATTAATATGCACGTTTAAACTCGAATACGTCATGTTCCACTCCTCCGCAATTATTATTCAAGAAACGTCGATAAACAATTCAGTAACAGTTCTCTGAATGTCTTCGACATACCCTCTCGTCCAACCGGAAACGTGTTCGAAATGAGTGATTTAGTCATTTTCATGATTCACGGTACATGATACGGTACTATAAATATTCCTTCAGACACAATCCATACCATGTTTACAGCAGAAATTTTCAGAACTGTTTTCCAGCTTTCCAAGTAGGGAAAGTAATGAGACATAGTACATAACATAACAATAAAGGGCTTATTCATTTCCAGATAATCCCCTTAGCTTTTATATACTCTTAAGAGGATGACTAATCATTTTAAAATCAGATACGATTATTATTGTGCAGGGATATTGACTTAAAATGATTAAAAGGAGGTAAATGATAATTGTTGCAATTTCAATCAACATTTTTTATTTTCAATAAATCTCGGGTATTATTTTTACAATATTTTATTTTTATTATTCCAAATTTCGAGTATCTTATATAGAAATATTTTTGATTAGGTAAATAAAAAAATTGTTAATGATATGGGTGATAAATTTCTATTGAAATTCAAGCATCACCCACATATATGAGGGTCAAGGTGCATCCCTCCTCCTCTATCAAAAATTATTTTTACTTATTAATTTTAAAATACCATTCATCAGTTTATAAAATCGTATCTCAATGAAAATAAATACTTAGAAACGAAAATTATAGCCTCATTTAAACCGAACGTACATAAATTAACACTAATCTGAAGAAACAGATATGCTCCTTATCTATTATTACTCTGTTTCTTTATCGAACATCCTTTTCCTCTATACGATAGCAGCCGGAATAAAATAAGGCGATAACGAAGTTGGAAAGGAGAAAAAACTATCAAGTACAATGAAAGATTAATATTTTTAATAATCTTATATAAACTAGGTATAAAAAGTCTGCGTATATTGTTTAAAACAGAATACATCATTTAAAATTGGACCAAAATTGGACTTGAGGTTCCTCGAGAAGCTACACAAATTAATTTACTAAGATATGTACTTGTATGGTCTTAAAAAATTACAATTTGTACAAGTTGTGGGGAAGGAATAATAAAAATTAATTTTTTAATTTTTTATGTGAGCCTATAATGAAATTTTAAAATATAGGTTTCGTAGATTCAACAATGTTACGTGTATGCTGAAAATTTCATTGAGATCGGTCAAGGCACTTAGAAATTATAGGTAATTAAAGTTTCAGAAAATCGCGACGTTTCATCTAAGAACGTAACTGGTTGGTTCTTGGGGTCCTTGACACCCCGAATGCAATATTGGGGTCCTTAAGATCCCAGATGATTTCAGGTCGGTATACAGTGACCGCGTGGGGTCCTTAAGATCCCAGATGACATCGGGTCGGTGTGCGGTGACCGAATGGGGTCCTTAGGATCCCAAATGCTATCGGGTCGGTATGCAGTGACCGCATGGGGTCCTTAAGAACCCGGATGGTATCTGGTCTCTATACGGTGACCGCGTGGGGTCCTTAAGATCCCAGATGACATCGGATCTGTGTACAGTGACCGAATGGGGTCCTTAGGATCCCAAATGCTATCGGGTCGGTATGCAGTGACCGCGTGGGGTCCTTAAGATCCCAGATGACATCGGGTCTGTGTACGGTGACCGAATGGGGTCCTTAGGATCCCAAATGCTATCGGGTCTGTATACGGTGACCGCGTGGGGTCCTTAAGATCCCAGATGACATCGGGTCGGCGTGCGGTGACCGTATGGGGTCCTTAGGATCCCAAATGACATCAGGTCTGTATGCAGTGAACACATGGGGTCCTTAGGATCCCAGATGACATCAGGTCGGTATACAAAGTGCGCACGGGGTCTTTAGGATCCCAGATGGCATCAGGTCGGTATGCAAAGTGCGCACGGGGTCCTTAGGATCCCAGATGACATCAGGTCGGTATGCAAAGTGCGCACGGGGTCCTTAGGATCCCAAATGACTGCAGGTCTATATGCAGTGAACACATGGGGTCCTTAGGATCCCAAATGACATCAGGGCTGTATGCAGTGAACACAAGGGGTTCTTAGGAACCCAGATTATATCAGGGCCGTATACAGGGTGCATATGGGGTCCTTAAGATCCCAGATGATATCAACTCAGTATCCAGGGGCGTCATAGGCACCGCGGGGCCCCTAACAGCCCAGAATGAAATCAGGACCGTATGAATCCCCTGTGGTTCGGGGGGCTTAGAATACGGCCACGGCATCCCCTGCCTGTCGTAAAAGGCGACTAAAAGGGGACACATACCCACACACACACACACACACACACACACACACATATACATAATTCAACCGAAAGATTGTAAAAATATGGCAAATGTATAAAACAATGACAAGAGGCGTATGAAAAGGGCACAACCATCCTCTAATTTCTTTCAGGAGTTTATTTAATTTACTTTATTTATTTTCTTTGCTTAGTAAGTAGGCTCGAAGGGGAATAAAATTGTATTGTATTGTATAAAATTTATTTTATTAAAAGTAAAAAATATCTGTTGCATACATCTTAATTATAGCTAGCTAAATACATTGGTTGGACATAATCAACTTCATCGATACCGATATCATCTATAAAATTACTGATAACAGGTCATTTCCATGGTGGTTTAATCTTCTGTTGATCTCCTTTAGTAAATACTTTTTGAGGGATTGGAATAAATTCACTAGTATCATGAGTAGCCTGAAAATGCATAAATTCATAATTCAGTGGTATTACAAGTCTAATAATGAACTTACATCTGATACTGGTTGCCACGTACTACTATCTTCATCTTTAATACTCGATTCCTGTTTTAAGTAATGTTTCCGTGGCACTTCTCTACAAACTAAGGAGGGGCTTGGAATATTTTCTCTGATTTTGGAAAATTCTTCCTTTGACTGTTGTAGCTCAGCAATCTATAGATAATTTTTAATGTAAAAAATTCTGGGTTAGAAATATATGCTGTAAAGAAATTAATTTTACCATTTTTATATATTTTCTAAGATCATCCTTTGTTTCTTTTCTACTTGTTAATGGAGTATCATCAATTGGCGTCATGCTACTCATACTTCCATTATAATCATGAAAATTTTTTACGTCCGACAATTGTGTCGTTAATCTAATTGGTTCTTGGGAAAGTTTTGTACAACAATTTGGCATTGATTCAGACTTTTTTGGACCTTTATACTCGAACAATTTTTCAGCATGAATTTTTTGAAGCGGTGTCAAATTTTCCATGTTACCGCCTACAAATTAAAAAATTATAGTCATCAAAATATTAATATAATGCAATTTAGTAATTTTACCTGATATAATTTGTAAAGCTTTTTGCCATTGCCTTTGCATTACAGAATGAAGCTGTTCTGCAAGTTGGGACTTAGTGGCCCGTTGAGAATTCAATTGTGTTTCTAACATGCTAGATTTCTGTAAAGCTTCAGCTAACTGAAGTTCACATAATCGTTTCTCTTCTTTATGTTTCTCTTCTAATAAATTGATTTCTAATTGATGCCTAAATACAGTATTATTTTTCATATACATATGCACCTTAAATTGATAAAATAATATAAAATAACAATATTAACATACTTATCTATAATATCTTTAATTTTCCTAGCTGCACATTCAGCAATAACTTGTTGTCTAGTTTTTAATTCCTCAAGAAATTCTGACTCAGCTGTATCAAGTTGAGTCTGAAATTCCTGCAACTTTACTTTGACAACTTCATCAACCTGTTTCTGATAGATTTCTTGTAATTCTGATCTAATTTTTTCTTTCTCTTCTTCAAGAGTTTTTGTTTCATCCTTAGCTAATTTCTAAAAATAAGAATATAAAATTCTAGCAAATTAATATTTGTAAATAAAAGACAATAATGATTAATACATTACCTCTGCCTTTTTCGCATCATCAAGTAAGGAAAGCAGTGAAATATTTTTTTGTTCTAGAATAGCGTTTCGATTGTTTTCTTCTTTCACTTTCAATTGTAAATTTTCTTTTTCTTGTCTTAAAACAATTAGTTCAGCTTCACAAGTATCTAATGCTTTATGAATAACATCCATTTCATTTCTAACTTCTCCACCCTTTAATCTCTCTTTACCTAACTCTTGCTGAAGATTCTTTAACACTTCTTCAGTCTGTTGATTTCTATCTGATAATTTACTATATTCTAGTTTTAATTGTTCATATCTATTCTCTGCTTCTTGTACAAAGGATTTGTAAGTTTCTAATTCATCAGCATGAGTTTTTAATAATTCTACTCTTTCTTTCATTGCTGTATCATTCTTTTCTTTGTACCCTGCTGCTAAGTCTAGAGCCTTCGATAATTCACCTTCAGAACGTTTAATTTGGGACTGAAATTCTGATATTTCTAACTGATGCTTTTCTGTTACATGTTTAAAATTTGTTTGCAAAGCATTGTACTCGCTTTCTAAAACGTAAACGCGTTGCTTCAACTTAGACCAAGCATTGTGAAATTGTCCTATCAATTCATTTTTTTCGTTATCTACTCTAAGTGCTACAGCTACTTTCTCCTGCTGTTCTAACAGCCGTTTCTGAAGTTCCTGTATTAGGTGTTCACAATGCTGCAAAGCATTATATTTATACTGACTACAATATTTTATTTATAACAATGAAACTAATGCCTTGATTTAAATTTTGACATACCTCTCGACGAAATTTTTCTTCTTCTAATTTAATTCTACGAATTTCTTCTTGCGACTTAGTGCCGTTGTTATCCCAGAAATCTGATAATGATAAAAGTCGTTGCGATTTCCTAAAATGCAAATAAAATTAAACTGTTATCTTTGAAACTAGAAAATTTGTAATCGTTTTCCTAATGTAACAAAAATACCTTGGGAAAAAATCTGTATTTGTTGAAGCATGACAAATACTCTTAACAAATGGAACATCACTCGTTTCTTTCATATGCCTGACATTACCATTCTGTTCAGAACTTTGATATGTTTCTGATAAATGCGGTAAATTATATTCAGTGCTCATTGTTGATGTTGCAGTGTTATACTTTGTTAATTCATTAAGCAATAAAGCATCTGATGTTTTAGCTTGCTCAGTAACTGTTTCTTGTTTCTTCGTATCAGATGCTTTTGCTACTGATTTATTAGCATTATTTATGTTCTTTAAGTCATTCGTATTTTCTGTTTCTCCAGTCTTTGAAAGTGATTTCTGTGTACTCTGTTCCCATGTTTTAAATGCCGAGATCATTTTATCAGTCTCATTTGATTGGAATGAATTATTGTATGGTAAGGATATATCAGGAAAAATTTCAGAACATTTCCTTTGAGGTAAAGCCGACAGAATATCATGATGTTGTGGCTCATATTCCAACTTTCTATTGATTGAATGCCTGTACATGCTATTACGATTATTACTTCTACAGATATCATCGTTTTCGTTAGACGATAACGCACCATTTTTTTCCTTAAGACATTTATGCATTGAAACTCTATTGATTCTTTTTGATAACTCTAGTTCAGTGGCTTCCATTTCTTGAAGCAGTTCATCAACTTCAAAGAGCTCCATTTCTTGTATGCTAGTTTTAGAGTATGATGGCTGTTCCCTTGGGCTGAACAAAGTTGAGGTAGATGGCATTGAATGCAACTGATTAGAACACGGTTTAACATACATATTATTTGTATTTGTACTATTAGTTGAATAAGAACATGGTTCCCTTTTGGAGAAAGTAACATGCGGGAAACCCACATTGCAAGCAGTAGAAGATAGCACCACAGAGGAATGGGACATTACAGGGTCATGCTTATTCTTGTTGTATTCATTAGTGTTAGTTGCATTAGTACCGATAGCCATAGGAAAATGATCCTCTGACTTCACATCATTTTGATGGAAATTAATATGATTTGACAATGAACTGGGAGTTGTTGGAACAGACAGGGATTGACAGGGTTTTATAGGTGTATTTTGTAAACTAGAACTTTGACTTATAGAGAATCTAGTTCTAGGTAAAGTCTGCCTTAATTTGGCACCAGAGTTGTTTTGAATTTTTGAATCCAATGAATTGTTTAGCAAAGTAGCATCTAAACTGTTATCTTTGGATTCAATAGCAGAAATTCTGCTTTCCAGTGATTGCATATGCCCCACAAGTTCTGATATCACTCCAGATCTTTTACTACTAAAGTCTGTGTTCACTTGATCAGAACTAACATCAGACTCTGAAGATGATGGTACTAGGAAGAGGTCAGGTGGAATTAGAAGCAAAACATCTGTATCATCTGAATCGCTCATTATCCATTTATGTTTCCCTTTATCAAAGCAAGTTAAATCCAATTACTGCATTCGCCAAATATCCACCAGAAGTATTTACACCATATTTACACACCCCTTTAAAAAGTCAGTCATGTAAACAAAATTTTACTCACTGTTTTTAACATTTAGTACTTGCAAATAGAAGATAAAATTCAACAATATAAGTAGTTTATGAATACTTGCAAATAATAATTTAGCATGTTTTCTTTTCGATTTATAAACTACATTATAAAATATAATTTAAAAAACCTGTACACTAACCAAACAAACGCACTTTAAAGGGTGGCATCCTTACCATGCCCAGTGCAGTAACTACAGACCCTACCTACAGTCAGTAAACCACTAGCGCCAGCTATTAAGTTACAATAAAAACTACTTGTCGAAAAGCATCGGCTGTAGTCTACTCCGTTAGGAAATTCATATTCGATCTGATTCGATCCTTATGCTTATAGCGAACAACCAAAATATTAGAGGCTACGCATGCACTGTTTTACAGGCATCTATTTATATAAAAAACTATTTTAATCACGTGTTGTATATTTTAAGTCATTAGTTAATTAGTTTAAACAAATTGTCATAGTACAGCTAAATAAAACACGTTATGTGAATGTACTATTAACATCATATTTAAAACAAGTTAGTTTCGATAACCATTTGATAGAAAATTGTTTGTAACTGAACAGCTGGTTTGCTCAAGTGAAAAATTTAACATAAAACATGAAATCTACTAAATACTTTGGCATACAAAAAGAGCATATAAGTTAAAGGAAATAAAATATAACCTACAAAAATTAAGTATAATATAACAAAAATAAATTGCTTTGAATAATATATTTTAACCATAACATATCTATCTCTGCTACATTCTCAAGAAATTCAGACCAATATCGCTTAATTAATTTATGATAATAAATTCTTTTCTTTAGGTTATGTTTTATTCGGTATCTTTTTAATGAAGAGTTAAAATGTTTATCAGATTGTTACATAAAATATTATTTGCAGTCAGATTTAACGCATAAATGCATGCGTAAACACGTATTCAACTAAGATACATAAAATTGTTAAAATGTTATTACGAAGGATAAGCAATTTACTACAAATTTCCGTAAGTTTTTCGTATTTTAATTATAATTGTATAACACTATGATCAGTATGCTATTTTAAAATTTGTAGGTTCCTTGTCAGAAAATAAATAACAGGTACTTAAATTTTGTACCTGTTGTAGTAGAACAAAGTGGAAGAGGTGAACGTGCATATGACATTTACTCGCGTCTTTTAAAAGAAAGGATTATTTGCCTAATGGGCCCGGTACAATTTGATACATTTTCTATTCTAACTTTCTTTAGATTTAATACAAATAACATAAATAGATGATCTAAAAAATTGACCTGCACGAACTTGAAAATAAAAAGGAATATATTATTTTGTAGATCACAGACAATGTATCTTCTGTAGTAATTGCTCAATTACTGTTTCTTCAATCAGAAAGTAGTAAAAATCCAATTCATATGTATATTAATTCACCTGGTGGAAGTGTAACATCAGGACTTGGTATATATGATACCATGCAATATGTTCTTCCTCCAGTTGCAACATGGTGTGTAGGTCAAGCATGTTCAATGGCAAGTTTATTACTAGCTGCAGGAACAAAAGGCATGCGTCATTCGTTACCTAATGCAAGAATTATGACACATCAGCCTTCAGGAGGAGTATCTGGTCAAGCTACAGATATACAGATACAAGCTTTAGAAATACTAAAACTCAAGAAACAAATCAACCACTTATATATGAAACACACAGGCATGGATCTAAAAAAAATAGGTACATAAATTGATGAAACTCTATGTTTATACAATATTTTACCACATACAATTTTTCAGAATGTTCTATGGAAAGAGATAATTTCATGAGTCCATTTGAAGCAAAGGATTTCGGGATCATAGATAAAGTACTAACACATCCAATGCAAGAGGAAGATATAGAATGTACGAAATTATCAAAAACTACACTTGAAAGCACAACACAACCATGATATCAGAATCAAGAAATAAGTGTTCAAAATTGTGAAATTTTATTAAAACATGTATTTATCAATATTTAAAAATAGTAATAAAATATTTTTAAAACAATTACAATTTATATCATGTATATAACTGTATTTAAATACAGTGAATGTACCCATATTTTGTAAACTTTATGTAAATATAAAACATAAAATGATAATTTCATAAATGACAAGCATATGTCATTCTTAATATGTTGATAACAAACTATTCAAATATCTTCAAATTTCTTAAACAAGCACAATATATCACCAAGCTTGCTTGCTATATGATAAAAATGTATAATGCTATAATTATAGGCGACCGTACAAAAAAGTAATGGAAGACACGATTTTGTATCAAAACATACCTATATATGTACATATTACGAATAATTTTGATTGAAAATTGAATACCTTTTTCCTCTTAGCGTATTAATATTTTGTCATGGCAGTTATATGCTTTAAATACTCTTAACATTACGATGAGTTTATAATTTCATATTCTATATCACCAAAAATATTTCGTTATAAGGACGGAATTGATTATGTGTCTGAATGCTAGACAACAATATAGCGACATTACATGTCATTAAAAAACATATTCCCCTATTACCAGCTTTTGTAAAACTAGTTTCACATATTTCCTTTAATTGCATGATTTTTTGATTGAAATCACTGAGGACATACTTGAGCATGTGCAAGCATTAATATATCTTTTTTCTCTTTAGGAAATCGAAGCTCTCTTCCGGCTAAACGTGCCGCTTCGAGTTCTCTTTCGGCTAATGCCAATTCCATGGCAACAACACCGCCACCGCTTTCGTGCTCTCTTGCTACCCAATCTAATGCCATTTGACTACGCATATCATCGTCCAGAGCTCGGTGACTATAATGAGCAACTACTTCTTGTCTGCTGCACTGTCTTTCTCTCATAGCTTTTAAAGATCCATTCCAATGAAGTAATTGAAAGACTGTCATTAACTCCTGAAATTCTAACATGGTTCTTCCGCGATTGCATTCTAACATAAAACGAAACGCGCCTATACCTGTATTTGGATCCTCTTTCTCATCTCCACTTCCCTAAAATATTACAAATATTTCATGGCATCTGTGTAATTATTAACAATAAAATAGTTAAATATATACCATACTTGTGTTTGACTGCTAACACCATTCGATGTTGCAGAAGGCTTGGCAAAGCTAGCTCTTGCTTCTGCAACTGCTTTCTCTATAAAATCATCTGTTATTTTTCGTGCAGGGTGCTCATTGAAAACAGAATTCATTAGAGCAATTTTTGCTGCTGATCTACGGGCCTCTGCCTTAGTAGGGCAATTTTGAAAGCTACCAAAACAGGATCCTCCAGGAAGGGTCACGTAACAAACATAAGGTGGACTGGTACCAGGTACAGATTCATAAATAACTAAAGCTCCATTCCTTAATTCCGTTCCTCTGCTTTGTTTCATTTGCCAGAATTCTTGTAGAGCCTCTACTACATTCACTAGAACATGAAGTAATATAAGTTAAATTTGATTTAGACTAAGTTCAACTATTAATCATACCTCTTCCATAGCCTTGAGTATGTTTTGCAAAACTATTAACAACAGCTTCTACTGCTTCTTTCAATACTTGTTTATCCCTGGCATCCACTAAACCACCCGTGATACCCATATTTTCAGGAACACGAGATTTTGTTTTAACCGGCATTATGCCCTGCATCACCCTTTAAAAGCTTAGGTACATTTAAGTTCTGAAATTCATTTTAATAGGAGTTTTTGATATATTCATTTTTTTTATCAATAACAGGACTGTATAAGCTATATAACTTAAAAAATAATACTTAAGATTAAAGAAATAATGACAGACAGTAGATTTTCTCATTGTAGGTAGTATCTAAAAAAGATCAATTATAGAAAAAAAGAGATAAATGAATTTACGTACGTAACTAAAATCAAAGTGACAATATTAGTGAAGACTGTCTCTTTGAAATGTTTGATCTGACGGATCCCGAATGTTACGTGAGTATGAAATGATAAAGTAAATACTGTGACATCAAAAGCAAAAGACGTGAGAAGAAACTCCGTAGGCCCACCTGCAGAGACCCGGATGCCCAGGAATTCGCGTAAATTACTCTCCGATCGGCGCACCGAGCGCTACGGGATCAAATTGCAAGACACATACAACGCGTTTAATGGCCTCGGACCACTGACGACTTCCAGAAAACCAGGACTGTCTGCATCGATCCAGCACCCTGTAGCAGCCCGATATCCTAACAACTGGTTACTGGAGCTTGCCAACTGATTACAAACATTTTCTACCAGAAACAACACCGGACAGTTTTCGTACGGAACCCTTGCTTAAATACATATTTAATCTGAATTGTGTAGGATGCAATTTTATTACGTTCTTTTATAAAATTCTTGTATTTAAGTTTGCCTTATCTAAACTTTAATAATATCTTATATGCTATGTAGAGTAAATAATGTATACATAAATAATAATAAGCGTGGAGGCCGAACTTCGAATTCTGCGTCGGTAAAACAGTCAACGTTTCATCGAAAAGTATGCCGAACAGAAACTGATTTAAGCGCCACCTCAATTATCGCATGTTATCAACTATCGGCATGCTATACTACGTCAACTAAATGACACTGTAGCTATATGTATAAGTAAAATTAAATAAACTCATTAGGAGCATGAACATGTTGATTCTATTACATCTGTGTGCCTCGCCTATTATTTTATCCTTTTATTTATTATTTTACTCCTATTTTCGGGCCTCGCGTGGACCACCCTTCCAAGTCATTTATTATTTTCTCCCTCTTTATGGGCCTTGGCTCAACCTTCCCAGTTACTTATAATTTTTTTGTTTCACTAGGCCCAACCCTTTATCACTGCATCCCTTATATGTCTGCATCCTTAACATCCCTGTATCCCTTATATCACTACATTCCCTGCAACTCGTATATGCCAGCATTCCTTATAGTTCGACATCCCTTACATTGTTGCATCCCTTACATCTCTGTACCCTTTATATCTCTGTATCCCTTACACTCCTGAATTCTCCCTGCATCTCTTGTATCCTTTCAACCCTTATAATAAATATATTATTAATATAATAATATATTATAAATAATATACTTATGGCCACTGGTTCGAGTAAAGGTAAGTAAAGGTAAGTAAAGGTAAGTAAAGTCTCGTGAAAAATAATTAAATTTTTGCAAAATTTAATTCCTTTTTTTGCCGCCAGAGGGCGCTGACTCTGCGTCGAGATTTTAGTTCACATTTTTGCCGCCAGAGGGCCAAAAACTTTGCGTGATTTAGTTCCTTTTTCTGAATCCAGATGGCGCTGATTCGACATTGAAATTTTAGTTCAAATTTTTCCCGCTAGAGGGCCAAAATTTGGGCAAGCTTTAGTTCCTTTTTCTGAAACCAGATGGCGCTGATTCGACATTGAAATTTTAGTTCAAATTTTTCCCGCTAGGGGGCCAAAATTTGGGCAAGCTTTAGTTCCTTTTTCTGAAACCAGATGGCGCTGATTCGACATCGAAATTTTAGTTCACATTTTTCCCGCTAGAGGGCCAAAATTTCGAGGAAGTGCTATAATGAGATGCTTACAAAAGAGGTATGTAAGGGATGCAGGGATGTAAGGGATGTAGGGATGTAAGGAATGCAGGGATGTAAGGAATACAGGGATGTAAGGAATGCAGAGATGTAAGGGATGAAGGGATGTAAGGAATGCAGGGATGTGAGGAATGGAGAGATGTAAGGAATGTATAGATGTAAAGAAAGTAGGGATGTAAGGGATGCAGGGATGTAAAGGATGTAGGGATGTAAGGGATGCAGGAATGTAAGGGTTGCAGAGCTATAAAAGATGCAGGGATGTAAAGAAAGTAGGGATGTGAGGAATGGGGAGATGTAAGGAATGCAGAGATGTAAAGAAAGTAGGGATGAGAGGAATGCAGAGATGTAAAGGATGCACACAGGTGTAATAAAGTTAATACGTTCTTTCTCAGCATCAGTTTATTCAATAAGCAAAGAAGATAAATACAACAAATTAAATGAACGCAGAAAGTAAAAGAAGGGTTGTACATATATGTGTGTTTAGCACGTAGATCTGCACGCCTCGACGGTTACTATAGGACTGATTTCCACCTACTAAAACCCCACGGCGAATAACTGGGACTGGTAAATTGGGCAGAATTGTTATATCGGCTGTACATGCTGTGTATTTGTAGCTTAACTAATGTGGGGGTGCTTGGAAGCCACGAAATCGTTACTTCTCGATAACAAGGACATGTCCAGTCTTCTTGTAATTGTAGTCACTGCTGTAAGCTAATGAAACTATTGACGGATTTGTAACATTTATAATATTTATATAAAATGATTTTTCTTAAGGAAAATTACAGTGTCCTCTTAATTTTTTACCGCCAGCAGGCATTATGATGGGATGCTTACAAAAGGGATGCAAGGATGTAAAAGGATGCAGGCATGTAAGGGATGCAAGGATGTAAGGAACGCAGGGATGTAAGGAATGCAGGGATGTAAGCGATGCAGGGATGTAAGGGATGCAGGAATGTATGGGTTGCAGAGCTATAAAAGATGCAGGGATGTAAAGAAAGTAGGGATGTGAGGAATGGGGAGATGTAAGGAATGCAGAGATGTAAAGAAAGTAGGGATGAGAGGAATGCAGAGATGTAAAGGATGCACACAGGTGTAATAAAGTTAATACGTTCTTTCTCAGCATCAGTTTATTCAATAAGCAAAGAAGATAAATACAACAAATTAAATGAACGCAGAAAGTAAAATAAGGTTTGTACATATATGTGTGTTTAGCAGGTAGATCCGCACGCCTCGACGGTCACTATAAGACTGATTCCCATTGACTAAAACCCCACGGCGAATAACTGGGGACTGATAAATCGGGCAGAATTGTTATATCGGCTGTACATGCTGTGTATTTGCAGCTTAACTAACGTGGGGGTGCTTGGAACCCACGAAATTGTGACCTCTCGAGAACAAGGACATGTCCAGTCTTCTTGTAATTGTAGTCGGTGCTGTAAGCTAATGAAATTATTGCCGGATTTGTAACACTTATAATATTTATATAAAAAGATTTTTCTTAAGGAAAGTTACAGTGTTCTCTTAATTTTTTACCGCCAACAGGCGTTATGGTGGGATGCTTACAAAAGGGATGTAAGGATGTAAAAGGATGCAGAGATGTAAGGAAAGCAGAGATGTAAAGGATTTTTTCCCCTGAGGGAGGTTGGCGGAGGAGTGTCATATTCTATAAACTCTAGGAACTATGAAATTACTAATATTGCAATCCCGAAAATACTTTTCTGAATTTAAACTATTGTTTCCCAATTAAAAAATATATAAATCTTTTTATTGTAGCTCTTAGCTTGATATCGCTTTCTAAAAGTTATCTTTAGAAAACGATATCAATTACCAGGTCACACCACGTGGAGGTGGCTACGTTAGTGACCCACCCTAAAATCATAAGAACGTGAAACCATTCAAACCAGACAACATAAAATAAAAATTTAAGCAATACAATCTTGAAATAGAAAATAAAATTAACATCCTAATATCAGAAACAATTGAGAAAATAATAATAATTTAACAATAAAATGCTGTAACGGAAAACGTAATTATTAGGATTAGATATACAATAACATGAAACCATTCAAAACAGACAACATAAAATAAAATTTTAAACAATACAATCCTGAAATAGAAAGTAGAATTAACATCCTAATATCAGAAACAATTGAGAAAATAACAATTCAACAATAAAATGCTGAAATAGAAAATATAATTAACATCCTAATATCAGAAACAATTGAGAAAATAACAATTCAACAATAAAATGCTGAAATAGAAAATATAATTAACATCCTAATATCAGAAACAATTGAGAAAATAACAATTCAACAATAAAATGCTGAAATAGAAAATATAATTAACATCATAAATTCTGTAACAATTAAAAAATAATTAAACAATATAATGCTGAAATAGAAAATATAATTAACATCATAATTTCGATTACAATTGAAATGAAAAATGCTGAAATAGAAAATATAATTAACATCATAATTTCGATTACAATTGAGATGAAAAATGCCGACAACAGAAAATATAATTACCATTACAATCTCAGAGTATGTTTTAAATAAACAGAACATAATTAAAATAAGAACATGAAATATAATTGATGTGCAAATCAATAAGAAAAGAATAATTTATTTCAATAAAGCAATAAACGAAAAAGAAATAGGGGAAATAAAATCGCGAGTTGACCATCCAACGAGCTGGGTATTGAACTCGTAAAATTTCGAGTTCAATACGCCCTGGACGGTATTATTCATACCGTTCAAGGAAAAACACAAAAAATAAAAAAACAAATTAGCGAGCATAGTGACAGAATGACTGTCCATCCGAAGATGGAGAGCCATTAGTAGTTCCCCTCTTCTAGGCAAATTTTGCCGGGGCTCTTCAGCATATAGCCTCTTCTTTCTTCGGCAATAGCCTCACAAAAATCACTCGCGAAAATTTTACGTTTGCTCAGACATTTGTAAAAACGTAACACGTAAACGAGCAACGATCCCTTGAATCGCTACTCACATACCTGCACAATTTTTGCAAATGTCCAAGCACAAAACACTTTTTAATTTCACTTCACTTCACTTCACTGCACTTTCACTTTAATACTTCATTTTTGTAATCGGGTCTAGTACCACGACTACGACTTACAAACTAATAAGGCTTGGCCTTGAAAAAATCAAGAGAGAATGCTAAATTAATTAATTGATAAATTAATTAAATTGCATTTTCATTTTTCCTCTTGATTTTTTAATTTCCAACCCCAGATACAAGCTTCTCACGTATTAGAGGAGAATACGAAGAGAAACATGAAAGCTTGCTCTGGCCCTGCCTACTTATAAACTAAACTCAATCACACCAGAAGTAAACTACCTGCCTGCCTATCGCTATATTTAAAAAAGGGCAAAAATCATTCTCACAAAAATTCACTCCACGGTTCTCATACAACCACCCGGGTGCAAAAATGCCTACACCTAGAGAGAACGTCCCGGGACGCCTCCGACACCCGAGTTCAATTCAACTTTCACACTCTAATAAAATCATACCTGTTTGCTGAAATCGACTGACAAATAATAGTGAACATTATGCTAAAGTAATACATTTCATTTTCGTATGCTATTCAATTATCTAATGTAAAAATTTTTCAATTTACTCTCGATAAGTATTTTGTA